CTCTCAGGTGAAGTACATCTTTCTCCAGCAGTTTCCTTTTAGTTTTGATTCGTATATTCATGCTCTGTAGTGAAATATGTTTTCTTTTTAACTTAATTTTATTGATTGTTTTTGTTTTCTGCTTCATTTTTAAAATTGAGAGAATAAAGTACAATGTAAAGAAGAAAATAAAATCATAAAGTGCTGTGCTAAATGTTTAGATTTTTTCCTTCTAGTTTTACTTTCATGCCTATACATTCATACACAATACATGAGTTCATTTGAGATCATATGGTATATTCAGTTTTGATCTGTTAAGCTTAAAAAAAAATGAAGGGCTTGTTCCATTTCCTTAAATTCTTTGAAGATAGCATTTTGAATAGTAACAGTATATCATCTTGAATAGCAGCATAGCACTTACTTCAACTTTTTCCTGTTTTTCCTGCTGCTGGGTATTTGGATTGTTTCTGCTTTTCCACTTAATGAATATCTCTGTATCATTTTAGTCTGAGTTTTAGATTATTTACATTTACTTCAGAATAGAACCCTGGAAATGGGTCACAAAACAATATGGACATGTTTAAGATTCTTGTATAATCTTTCTGGGAAGGAATTTGTTGTTACAGGCTAATGGCCATTCCCACCAGTATTTGATTCCTTTTCATGAGACTCTTGCCAGCATTGAATATTTCATATGATTGATATTTTCTGATTTGAAAGGCAAAAATGTTCTCTCATCATTATATCCCTTTGATTAATAGGGATGGTCAACACTTTTTCATGTATTTTCTTAGCCGTTTGTTTTTCTCTTCTGTAAATTATCTTTTTTAGGTTCTTTAGATTTTTCAAAATTGAGGTCTTAATGTTTTCTATATTGATAGGACTTCTTGTTTTAATCCTTTGTCTTATTTGTGATAATTTTCCTAGTTTATTTCCTTTCTTAAAAACAGACTTTATTTTTTTAGAGCAGTTTTATGTTCATGGTAAAATTGAGCAGAAATTAGAGTTCCCAAATACTCTCTGCCCCTACACAGGCACAGCCTCCCACACTTGTCATCTCTGTACCACAGTTACACTTACTCCGGCAGATGCATCTGCACTGACACATCGTTATCACCCAAAGTCTTGTTTATGTTAGGGTTCACTTTTGGTGTTGTACATTCTATGGGTTTAGACAAATAGATAATGACACGTATTTATCATTGTATTACCATATAGAATAGTTTTACTGCCCTTAAAAATCCTCTGCCTGTTCATTCCCTCCCACTTTCCTAGCCCCACAATCACTGATCTTGTTACTGTCTCCAGGAGCTTGCCTTTTTAAGAACGTCATGTACTTGGAATCATACAGTATGTAGCTTTTCCAAATTGCTTTCTTTCACCTACTAATATGCACTTAAAGTTTCTTTATATCTCTTCATGGCTTGATAACTCATATCCTTTAAGTGCTGCATAATATTCCATTGTCTGGATGTAGTACAGTTTCTTTATCCACCTACTGAAGGGCATCTTGGTTGCTTCCAAGTTTTGGCAATTAAGAATAAAGTTGTTGTAAACATCTGTTTGCAGATTTCTGTGTAGATATAGTTTTCAACTTTCTTGGGTAAATAACAAGGAGCACAATTGCTAAATCATATGGAGAATGTTTAGTTATGTAGGAAACCACTAAACTGTCTTCCAGAGTGGCTGTACCACTTTCCATTCCCACCAGCAATGTAGGACAGTTCCTGTTGCTCCACGTGCTCACCAGTATTTGGTGGTGTCAGTATTTTGGATTTTGGCCATTCTGATAGATGTGTTGTAGTGTCTCATTGTTTTAATTTGCAGTTCCTTAATGACATATGTTGAATGTCTTTCGATATGTTTATTTACAACCTCTATATCTTCTTCGCTGAAGTATCTGTTAAGGTCTTTGGCCTGTATATATATTTTTTAATTTTTTTAAAATTAACATATGATGTATTTGTTTCAGGGGTACACGTCTGTGATTCATCAGTCTTACACAATTCACAGCACTCACCACAACACATACCCTCCCCAAAGTCCATCACCCAGCCACCCCATCCCTCCAGCCCCCCCCCCCCCCCCCACTCCAGCAACCCTCAGTTTGTTTCCTGAGATTAAGAGTCTCTTATGGTTGTCTCCCTCTCCGGTTTCATCTTGTTTAATTTTTCCCTCCCTTCCCCTATGATCCTCTGTCTTCTTTCTCAAATTCCTCATATCAGTGAGATCATATGATACTTGTCTTTCTCTGATTGACTTATTTCACTTAGCATAATACCCTTTGGTTCCATCCACATCGTTGCAAATGGCGAGATTCCATTTTTGTTTTTTATGGCTGCATAATATTCCATTGTATATATATACACGACATCTTCTTTATCCATTCATCTGTTGATGGACATCTAGGCTCTTTCCATAGTTTGGCTATTGTGGACATTGCTGCTATAAACATTGGGGGTCACATGCCCCTTCGGATCATACATTTGTGTCTTTGGGGTAAATACCCAGTAGTGCAATTGCTGGGTCGTAGGGTAGCTCTACTTTCAACTTTTTGAGGAACCTCAATACTGTTTTCCAGAGTTGGCCTATATTTTAATTGGTTTGTTTTCTTAATTGTTGATTTTTAAGAGTTCCTTATAAATTTTGGAGAACAGTCCTTTATCAGATGTGCCTTTTGCAAATATTTTCTCCCAGTCTGTGGCTTGTCTTCTTGTTCTCCTGACATTGTCTTTCGCAGAGTGGAAGTTTTTAATTTGAATGAAGTCCAGATTATTAATTATTTCAAAGGATCGTGCCTTTGGTGTTATACCTAAAAGGTCATCGCCATACCAGATCATTTGATTTTCTCCTGTGTTATCTTCTAGGTATTCTATAGTGTTGTGTTTACATTTAGGTCTGTGATACATTTTGAATAAATTTTGTGAAAGTATAAGGTCTTTGTCCAGATTTTTTTGTTGTACACATATGCCCAGTTGTTCCAGCACCATTTATTGAAAAGAGTGTCGGGCGCCTGGGTGGCTCAGTTGGTTAAGCGACTGCCTTCAGCTCAGGTCGTGATCCTGGAGTCCCAGGATCGAGTCCCACATCAGGCTCCCTGCTCAGCAGGGAGTCTGCTTCTCCCTCTGACCCTCCTCCCTCTCATGCTCTCTGTCTCTCATTCTCTCTCTCGCAAATAAATAAAAAAAAAAAAAAAAGGAAAGAAAGAAAGAAAGAAAAGAGTGTCTTTGCTCCATTGTATTGCCATTGCTCCTTTGTCAAAGATCAGTTGACTGTATTTATGTGGGTCTGTATCCGGGCTCTCTGTTCTGTTATATTGCTCTATTTTTATTTTCTTTTACCAGTACCACACTGTCTTGATTACTGTTGCTTTATAATATATTTTGAAGTCAGGTAGTGTTAGTCCTCCAACTTTGTTCTTCTGTATTGAGTTGGCTATTCTCAGTCTTTTGCCTCTTATCTTGAGAATTAGTTTGTCAGAATCCACAAAATAACTTGCTAAGAATTTGATTGAGATTGCATCGAGTCTATAGACCAAGCTGGGAAGAACTGACATCTTTGACAGTATTGAGCTCCCTATCCGTGAACATTATTTGTGATTGATTTCTTTTATATTTAGTAGCTTTTATTTTTTCTATCATCAAATATGCCATTTTTACTTTTGTCATTTCTTACATCAGAAAATCCTTCCTTGTCCTGAGCTCGCATAAATATTCATTTATTTCCTTTTAAAATGTGTTTTTAAGCATTTAATCCTTCTACCCATCTGGATTTATTTTTACTCTGTGGAATGAGGTGACGGTCTAACACTCTCCCCCCAAACACATAGTTATTTTTCCTCAAACCATTTCCTATCAAGAATAGATATGTATAGGGGCGCCTGGGTGACTCAGTCGTTGAGCGTCTGCCTTCGGCTCAGGTCATGATCCCAGGGCCTTGGGATCGAGCCCTGCATCGGGCTCCCTGCTCTGCGGAGAGCCTGCTTCTCCCTCTCCCACTCCCCCTGCTTGTGTTCCCTCCCTCGCTGTCTCTCTCTCTGTCAAATAAATAAAATCTTTAAAAAAAAATAGATATGTATACAAATAATCAGCCTTCCAATTTGTTTTCTAACCCTTTTGGAGGGAATTGCATGCTTTCCCTATTTTAGATTATGGTTAGGTGGGAAGAGTGGGGAAGTAGTCAAATCTTATATGGTTACATCTTGGGAAGGCCACCTACTGAACCCATTTGCCTACTACGCATGGTTGCTGGTATCAGAGGCAAACTCCTAGGTTGTGTATGAACCACCTTCATCTCCCCACCCTTCCTCAGAGATTCTCATGTACCCTTTGGAGAGGCATGTCCTGCTTCCCTTGGAGAGTCACTACCATATTCAGTTACCACCAGGGTGTGAGTCTCCTGAAGATAGGATGTATACGTGTATTGGTCCCCAGTTCTTCCCCTAGTAATTAGCTCACTGCAGGGCACAAAAATCTGAATGGACAAATGAGCCACTATTACCAATAGGAGTGCCACGGCTCTCTGATGTGTTTTGAGATGAAATAAAGCTTGGGAACAGCTGTATGAGGTCTGTTTCAAAGAGCATTACATTCACGCAGTCACCCTACCTTCTCCATACTTCTCATGCTGAAGATGCTAAAGCTGCACGTGGCGAACACAAGGGGAGCTTTTCACAGGACCTCTCCCTAGCTCTCACCCCCCAGAGATACAGTCTGGCATGGGGATTTTTAAATGTTCTTTGGGTGATTCTAAAGTACTGATAGAGTTGCGAATAATGCTTTAAAAAGTGTCTTCTTAATTAAGTTTTATTTTTATTGATATAAAGATTCAATTAAGTAGTTGGATTGTGGGGCTGGGGTCGGGGGGAGGGAAATGTGCCTATCAGACTCCAAAAAGATCATTGGTCCTGTGTGTACATTTTATTGCTGGGAAGATTTTACCCAAAATACTCCTTTGGTGAATATTTTGGACAAAGTTACAATAACGTAGGATCTTATCTAATCTGGCTTTCTCTTTTCTAGGTCAGCATGGATTCCTGGTTCATTCTTGTTCTGCTTGGCAGTAGTCTGACACGTGTAGGTGCCAACAATGCAACCACAGGTAAATTGTCATTTGATAAGGCTGGTGTTCTGAATAGAATTTTGCTTTCACATTTAATGACTAAAATTGGAGACCTGGGTGGTATTAAAGAAAGAAAAAATTAATGAAAGTTTTACTTAAAAGTGATGGTATAAAATAAGTGTCTTTGGAAATCTCTGAGTCCTATTGAATGGTCAGCATTGCTCTGTATACAATATACTACTTTAAATAAATAGATTATATGTTCATCCCTGAAAAGTTAAAAAAAAAAATTGTTGCTACTTAAGACTCCTATATATTGATTCTGAGGAAATAAGTAATGAATCCAGTTTTCTTCTTCCCTTAAACAGTAGTCCTTTGGAGATGATAGAAAGGGTCCAGTGTTAGATAAGAATGTGTGTGTGTGTGTGTGTGCATTTATTTTTTTAATTTATTTATTTGAGAGAGCGAGAACGAGTGGGGGGTGGGGGAAAGATAGTCTCAAGCAGACTCCTCAGTAAGGGTGGGGCCCAGCGTGGGGCTCAATCCCAGAACCCTGAGATCATGACCTGAGCTGAAATCAGGAGTCGGCCACTTAACTGACTGAGCCACCTAGGTGCCCCTCTTGGAGAGTTTATTAACGCTTGCTGCTTTGTGCCTCATAACTTTTGAGCTATCACATTCTTCATGGGGTGTTTTTCTTTCTCTTTTTTTCATGTTTATAGTTTCACCTTCAGTAGGCATTACAAGATCTATGAAAACATCAACAGCAGAGTCAGTCAAAGAAGAGACCAAAGCTTCAAATACTACTTCTTCAGTAACTTCTCCCTCTGTGGCACCAACATTCAGCCCCAATCTAACTCTGGGACCCACCTATGTAACCACTGTCAATGCTTCAGACTCTGACAATGGGACCACAAGAACAGCAAGTACCGGTTCTGTAGTCACTACACTTGCACCGAATGGAACGTGGCTTCCAGAGAACCAGTTCACAGATACCAGCACAGAGCCTTGGGAGGGGAATTCCAGCACCGTGGCCACCACCCCAGAAACTTTCCCTCCTTCAGGTACTAGGGATGGTTGGTTTGTATTTTTTCTCTTTGAGGTTACTCACTGTTTTATTATTTTGTGTTTTCTAGCCACAAGATTTCTTGAAATAAAAATTGCAAACTAATGAAACTTAGATACAGAGAATTCTCAGGAATATCTGTTTAACATAGACTTAAGAGGAAAGAAGAAATACTCTAGAGGATATCCTGCTTTGCCTGGCATTCTGGTTAGACTGGGGAGGCTTGAGTGTTAAAGGTAGAAGAAGAAGTTTGAAAATACAAGAGAAAGGGGAGCTAATTGATGATGCAAGAGACTGAAGATGAAGGCTGCAGAAGCTGAGGCTTTTAAGGCTAAGGATTAGCCTTAAAAAGAAGGGACCCATGGAGACCATGGGAAGGAGAATGGGTTTGGATGTCCATAACAGATAGGGAGTGGGAACCCTGTGGCCAGGGGTAGAGTTAGAGGAGCTCAGAGAAACAGTTAAATTGCAGTACCAGCTTGTTCAGGGCCTCAGCCCAGCCCAGCCCACTTCTTTCCTTCAGTCCATCGGGTTGAATGGGAAGTGGCACCGAAGATAGAATCAGCCCTGGGTCAGAGACCAGGTGGGGTGGAGCAAGTTTCTGACCGTTGGAGCCTCAGGGTCCTGGTCTGTAAAAGAGAAAGGGGTCCCTCACAGGGTTTCTGTGAGTAGAGGAAATTGTTCCCTGACAGCTTCGTAACTGTCATTCTCTAGCAAAAATCACTGTTCCCTCTTCTGTGGTCACATCCCCTTGGCTCAGATTTCTTCCCTGTTAGATGGCGAGGGCTCTTAGAGGAATCACATCTCACTCATGGGGAGCATTCAGAAAGTATTTGCTGAATTGAATCTCATTTGGTTTCTACAGATGACCTCTTTTAGCTGGACTTTACAGCCCAGACCCTGCACCTGCCTGCTTTAATCCCGTATTTTCCACTATAAATGGATTACAGCATTTGCCATTAAGAGCCCAGTCTACTGAGCCACACTACTTGAGTTTGAATCCTATCTCTGCCATACACTGGCTATGTGGCTGCAGGCAAGGTTATTTAACCTCTGTGCCTCAGTTTCTTCATCTGTAAAATAAGAACGAGTGATAGTAATAATACTTATCTTGTAGGGGAACTATCAGGATGAAATGGGTTGATAGAGGTAAAGTATTTACAGTGCACACCTGCACATGGCAAGCACTATTTTTAAGTGGTGGGCGTTGTACTGAGAGTTTTATAAAGTAATCCTATGAAGTATCCTATGAATCCTCTGAAATCGGGTCTATTTTATGTTTTGCAGGTGGAGGAGTTTTACAATGATGAAACTGTAACTTAGGGAGTATTTTTTGAAATACAGGTCATGACCAATTCATAAGATCAGTTTAGTGGGCCATCATGATTTGTTTTGTTTTGTTTTTTTACTGGTATTTTATTTATTTTTATTTATTTTTATTTTTTTTATTCTTATGTTAATCCCCATACATCATTAGTTTTAGATGAAGTGTTCCATGATTCATTGTTTGTGCATAACACCCAGTGCTCCATGCAGAATGTGCCCTCCTCAATACCCATCACCAGGCTAACCCATCCTCCCACCCCTCTCCCCTTTAGAACCCTGTTTGTTTTTCAGAGTCCATCGTCTCTCATGGTTCGTCTACCCCTCCGATTTCCCCCGCTTCATTCTTCCCCTCCCGCTACCTTCTTCTTCTTCTTCTTCTTCTTTTTTTCTTAACATATATTGCATTATTTGTTTCAGAGGTACAGATCTGAGATTCAACAGTCTTGCACAATTCACAGCGCTTACCAGAGCACATACCCTCCCCAGTGTCTATCACCGAGTCACCCCATCCCTCCCACCCCACCCCCCACTCCAGCAACCCTCAGTTTGTTTCCTACAATTAAGACTTCCTCATATCAGTGAGATCATATGATACATGTCTTTCTCTTTTTGACTTATTTCACTCAACATAATACCCTCCAGTTCCATCCACGTCGTTGCAAATGGCAAGATCTCATTCCTTTTGATGGCTGCATAATATTCCATTGTATATATATACCACATCTTCTTTATCCATTCATCTGTCGATGGACATCTTGGCTCTTTCCACAGTTTGGCTATTGTGGACATTGCTGCTATAAACATCGGGGTGCACGTACCCCTTCGGATCCCTACATTTGTATCTTTGGGGTGAATACCCAGTAGTGCAATTGCTGGATCATATGATAGCTCTATTTTCAACTTTTTGAGGAACCTCCATACAGTTTTCCAGAGTGGCTGCACCAGCTTGCATTCCCACCAACAGTGTAGGAGGGTGCCCCTTTCTCCGCATCCCCGCCAACATCTGTCGTTTCCTGACTTGTTAATTTTAGCCATGATTTGTTTTGTTTTTAAGTGGATGGTCCTGTTCCATTTCTTTTCTTTTTGTGTTTCGTATATCATTTTGTGAAACTTTTGTTTCAGTTATACAGAAACACCTACGGAGTAACAGTGTAGAATGCATTTCTTGCTGTGAGTTATGGCCATTACTTCAGGAGGGAAGACAAAATAACTTGTACAAGCTAAAATAGTCAGTGGGAAAGGTGAGACAGCAATCCAGGCCTGACTAATTTTGCATCCTGTGTTCTTCACTTCTGTTCTGTACTGTCTTCATTTATCAGTTCTGTGACATGACCATGGATAATTATCTCCCTTTAATAGATGTCTAATGTAAGACTATAGAGGTTAAATGATTTGTCTTAGATCTCAGGGCTCTTGAATAGCACGTTAGGCCTTTTTCTCGCTTTTGTGGTCTTTGTACTCTGCTATTAGGGAATTGAGTTTTCCATTATCTGCCTTAGGTCCAAATTATGCCATAGCTAAGAAGCCGGTTATTGTACAGTTAACACATTTCATGTCTCAGGGGAGACTGAGACTGCATTTCACTGGTGACTTTTTCAAGATCAATAAAACACAAGGAAAACTTTATGGTACATCAGGATGTTACAGCCTGAACCCCCACGTCCTCCTCATCACTACCATCTCACCAGTCCTCCCATAATTGTTACATCATAATTTTTTTGTTAAATCAGTATTTGATGTTTTATATTATTATAACTGTAATGTTATTCCCTGCTGAGTTATAAGTATAATGTGATGATTTTTCTTTTCTTGTACAATTTTTTCCTGGATTTTATAATTGCCTTATAGTTTTTTTTTTTTTTTTAAGATTGATTGATTTATTAGAAAGAAAGAGTGTGCGCACTCACACAAGTGGTGGGAGGGGCAGAGGGAGAGAATCTTCAAGCAGACTCGCCACTGAGCATGCAGCCCATCACGGGGCTCGGTCTCACGACCCATGAGCTCACGACCTGAGCTGAAACCAAGAGTCGGCCACTTAACTGACTGAGCCACCCAAGTGCCCCAATTGCCTTCTATTTCTGTTTTAGTTTTCTTTTTGCCTGTTGCTAGCCGATTCTTCTCATACTTTCCATAGCCTCTCAATACAGTTTTCAGTAAAGTCAGATCTGTAAGGTAATCTGTTATTTATTTTTTCCTAGAGATCTTCCTCCTGAGTCGTCCATTGTCTTACTCAAGTCTAGGCTTGATCATCAGGGCTGCTGCCCAGGTGTTGGTGTGGTATTTCCCTTCTCTATTATTTTGGAAATTCCCTCTGCTTCCTGACTTCTATATTGACCTCTTTCTTGGATTACTCCATAATTTGGTAGAACATATCTTCCAGTAGCTTCCTGAGATAGGGGGTCATGGGAGGTACATTGCATGAGGCCTTACATGTCTATACATAGAATTAGAGGACGTATTTTTTTCTCCAGAATGTTGAAAGCATTGTCCTGACTCCTAATTCCCAGGCTTGGGGGATTCTACTGCTGTCCTGATTCTTAATCACACTTTGGTGTGTTTTTGAAAGATCTTTATCATTAGTGTCCTGAAATTTCACGGAAATGTGTCTTGATGTGGATCTTTCTCATTCATTATGCTGGATATTTGATAGGACTTTTGGAGCCTTGGTTCTTCGATTCTGGAAATTTTTGGTTCTTCAGTTCGGGAAATTTTTCTTCTATTTGGAAATTTTCTTCCGCTGTCTATTTTCTCTGTTTTCTTCTTCTAAAACTCTTTTATTATTTGGATATTGGACATATCCTAGATTGATTATTTTAAATTTTTCTCTCCTTTTGACCTTTGCTTTGAGTCTCTGTTTTTTTTCCTTTTTATATATGTATGTATGTATATGTATACATATATATATTCCTTTTTCTTGTATTTATGACAAATGATACACATATATGTTGTGTATATTTCTGCACATTGCTTTGTTTCATTAGCCTGTCATACCTGTTCTGTATTACAGTAAAGAGTTGCTTCATTGTATGGATATACCTTAATGTATTTATCCAGTCTTCCCTATCAGTATACATTAAGGTTGTTTTCAGAGTACAAACAATAAAATTTATCATTTCAAGCATATATGAGAATAGTGGTACGATAAATTATTTTTAAGTATGCATTTGTAAACTGGTGGATATTGCCAGATTTTCCTCTATTGGGAAATTTATTCCTATGAACAGTGTGTCAGAGTGCCTGTTTTCCTAAGCTGTCTTCACTGCAGTAAATTACCAAACTTCTGGATCTGTGCCAGTCTGACAGGTGAAAATTAGCATCTCAGTGTAGCGTTAATTTGCATTTCACTGAGTGAGGGTGAGCATCTTTCCATATTTGGAAAGATCATTTCTATTTCTTTTTCTAAGAACTCTGTTGGTATCCTTTGCCTGGTTTTCTTAAGAGAATGTCAGGTTTTTCTGACTCATTTATAGAAGCTTTTTAATGTTAGGGAAATGAACCTTTGCCTACCTGTGATAAAGTTGCAAATATTTTTCCCCAGTTGCTCCTCTAGCTTTTCTTCATTGCAGAAACTATCATAAGCAATTTAAAATATTTTTTAATTAAAAAAATAATCAGTTTAACTAAATGTTTTCTTGGTATTAGATCATATACAGGAAGACTTTTTTTTTTTTTTTTTAGATTTATTTATTTTAGAGAGAGAGCACAAGTGGGAGGCTGGAGGGAGAAGGAGAGAGCATCTCAAGCAGACTCTGCATAGAGCCCATGGTGGGGCTTGATCCCAGGACCCTGAAATCATAACCCGAGCCAAAACCCAGAGTCTGACAGTTAACCGACTGTACCACCCAGGCGCCCCTAGGAAGGCTTTTCTTACTCCAGTATTACAAAATAATTTTCCTAATTATTTCTTCTGCACTTATGGTTTCTTTCTTCTATATATGTATATGTGGGTGTGTGTTTAAATCTTTTATCCATCTGGAATTTATTCTGATGTGAAGTGTGAGCTATGGATCTGTTTTTTTTTTTTTTTCCCCAAAATGATTAACGACTTGTCCCAATACCTTTTAATGAATATCTATTTTTTTCCTCACTGATTCAAAATGCTACCTTATCATATATTGAATTCTGATATGTATTTAGGTTCCCATATGTATTTGAGTTCTGTTTCTTGGCATTTGTATTTTCTTTTAATTATTTTCTCTGTCCATGTCAGAACCTCACTGTTTTAATAATTGTAACTGTAAAATTATTCAGTATTTGATAAGGTTAGTCATCCCTTGTTAATCTTATTTTTCAGAATTTCACTAGCAGTTCTTGATTATTTTTCTTTATGAACATTAGAATCAACTTACATAGTAGGAGAAAAGTTTTTATTGATTATGTCACATTTATAGGTTAACAGGACAGTTGACATCTTGAAGTCTTTTTTTTTTTTAATTAAAGATTTTATTTATTTATTAGAGAGAGAGCACAAGCAGGGGGAGCAGCATAGGGAGAGGGAGAGGAGAGGCAGGCTCTCCGATGAGCAGGGAGCCTGATGTGGGACTAGATCCCAGGACCCTGCAGTCATGACCAGAGCCAAAGGCAGACATTTAACCAACTGAGCTACCCAGGCTCCCCATCTTTAAGTCTTTCTATCCAAGAATGCAGTGTATTCCATTTACTGAAGTCTTACTTTGTATTTCTTGGAAGTGTTAAAGTTTTTGTCACTGAATGTTGCACATGTTTTGTTCAGCTTATTTCTAATTTCAGGGGTTTTCTTTTTGTTATTTTGGTGTTTTGTTAGTATAAATGGAGTATTTTCTTTTATGTCTTCTAACTGGCTGCTGTTGGGGCTATGAAGGCCATTGACTTTTTTTTTTTTTGAGCTATAATTGATCTAGGTCATTATTTTAGTTTTGGGTATACTACATAAAGCTATTGACTTTTGTAGGTATATTTTATCCTGGTCATCTTAATAAATTTCCTCAGTGTTTGACATAATTTTCTTCAATTATCATAAATCTTCAAATTAGTCTCTTTCTTTTTCTCTTTAAATGCATTGGTGAATACCTTCAGAACAAAATTAGGAAGCAGTGGTAAAAGCACTGTCTTGTACCTCTCAGAAGGATGTTCTTAGTGGTTTTCCATTAACCATGGTGCTGACTCTTGGGTTGAGGTAAACATATTTATCATGTTTAGGTTTTATTAATTTATTCCTGCTTTAAAGAGCATATATGTCAAGAATGGGTGTTAAATTTGCCAATTGCCTGTTCAGCATCAATGAGCAAGATTGTTATGATTTTTTTCTTTTTATAATATGCTATGGTGAATCATTTTAATAGATTTTTTGACTTCGAACTATTTACATTTATGCAAAAACAACCCTACTTGGTCCTGTATTTTCCTTGAATGAACTGTAGCACTTTGTTTGATACTGCTGTATTTGGGGTTTTTCCATTGACATTCGTTATTTAAATTGGTCTAGGTGTTTCCTTTGTATGTGTGCTTTTTTTTTTAATGTATGTGTGCTATTTTTGATAAGTTTTACTTGTCAGTGACCTAGAAAACTATGCATCTCATTCATGTTTTAAAAATTACTTGAATGGATTTGAGGAGAAGTCATCTCTTAAGATTAATTTCCTACATAGCTGTTAATATTTGTTATATATTTATGTCCATTTTCATGCTTGAGTTGGATAACCATTTATGTTTCACAGTTTGTTGTTTGTTTCTTCCAGAGTCTGCTATTGTATACTTACTAGTTCTACCATTCTTCAGTTTTTATTTCATTAATTTCTTTTTTATTCTTACTCTTCCTTCCCCCTGCTTTTCTTAGATTTATTTTGTGCTCTTTCTTCCTGAATTGAATGCTTAACTTGTTTTTATTTTCATTTTTCCCAGTTAATTCGTATATTTGATGCTATGAATTTTTATAAGCACAGCTTTAGCCATATCCCATAAGTGTTCTTGTAGGTAGTTGTATTAGTTATGGTGCAGCCTAAACTACTCTGATAAAGGCAGACCAAAATTCAGTGACTTAAGTAGACAAAAGTATCTCTCTGCCCTCTCACATTCCAGAGGTAGACGGAGGGCTTTGCCTTATCAGGGACTGAGTTCTTTTTTTCTTTTCTTTCTTTTTTTTTTTTTTAAAGGGAGGGAGGGGCAGAAGGAGAGAGAGAGAATCTTTTAATTCATGAGAGAGAGAGCAGGGTGGGGTGGGAGGGAGGAACAGAGGGAGAGGGACAAGCAGACTCCGCCCTGAGTGCAGAGCCCAACTTGGGCCGAAACCAAGTCAGACGCTCAACTGACTGAGCCATCCAGGCACCGAGAGAGAGAGAGAGAGAGAGAGAGAGAGAGAGAGAGAGAGAGAGAAAGAGAAAGATGGGGGGAATCTTAAGCAGGCTCCATGGCGGAGCCCGATGTGGGGCTCTGTCTCACAGCCCTGAGATCATGACCTGAGCCAAAATCAAGAGTCGGCCAATTAATCAGTTGAACCACCCAGGTGCCCCCAAGTTCTTTTTTTCTTACCGGCTCTGCCATCCCAACAAAATTGCCCTCATCTGCTTGGTCAAAAATGGCTCTCATCATTAGGTTCTAGTTCCAGCCCCTGGGAAGGGGGAACAGAGGAAATGGGGACAATTTCTTTTCCAAAGGATGTGATCCAGAAGTTACCCTTATCACTTTTGCTTGCATCCCATTGCCTAGAATTCTTCATATAACTACATTTGGCACAAAGGAGTCTTAGAAATGCAGTCTCTAGCCAGACAGCTTTGTGCTCAGCTTAAAAAAACAAAACAAAACAGGGTTTCTGTACCAAAAGGAAGAAGAGACTATTACTGGGGGAGAATTGGTGGATTCTGCCACAAGAATGATTTTATTATTTTTTAGGTGTTTTACAGTTTGGCTTTGCTTTTAATTTCCAGGTGTTTTCTTTGTTAATTTCTAGTTTTACTGCATCATGAAAGAATACTGTCTGTGTTATTTCCACAATGGGAAATAATTTATAAGGACTTGTGGATATTCCACAAGCCTTTGAAAAAGTTTTCTCTATTAATATATAGAATTTGGTCTACGCTAGTTAGATTTTTTTTTCCCCCCAGACTGGTTAGATTTTGTTACCTGTTACCATTTAGGTCTTTTATATCCTTAACTTAATTTTGCGCTATTGCATTTTAATGGCCTAAAAGACATAAAGACCTCTAATACTATTGTGTTTGTATTTCTTTTTGTGTTCTTGTACTTTTTTTTGAAGATTTATGTTGTGTTGTTTTTGTACTCAGAAGGACAAATCACTGATTAAAGTTTAGTGAGTCTGGGTAATCTTGTTTCCCATTTTTTGGATGGTACCTCATTTTAGCTCCAACATATATAAAGAAGAAAGTATCTGTTTTCCTAGAGCTTATTTTGTCTTAACTTAGGTTGAATTGTAATGGTTTTCTTTAATTTGAGAATGAATGTTTCTATTTCTCACTTATTACACAGGTAATTCTGACTCGAAGGACAGAAGAGGTGAGCCACTCACCTTATGTCTGTTGTCCCCTTTATAATGTACAATATTCATCATGTTTGCTCACAGTCTGTGGTAACCTTGTGCATCTGTATGGTTGTGTGTTTACTTTCCCTTAAGTTGTTTCCATATTAACCTTGTAGAGAAGAGTAACAGAAACAAATATTCACTATGTTTTTAAATATAGATTATGGATTCTAACAGTTATGACGTCTTTTAACAAGTAATAAAACAGCTGTATCTCACTTTATCATGTCACTTTGCTAATATCATCCTTTGTTGATATTAAGCCATAATTGCTACACCATAGTTAATTCCTGATGTCTAGTCAATAATTGCCTGTAAACATCCTAGCTTTTTGTGTTGTTTTCCCTAGTCTAAAAAGTGTCGACCCTTTGTCATTTTATATGGATTTTATGGGTTTTCACCTCTCTAGTGTAAAGTCCCTATGGCTGGAGATGCTGTGTCAGTGGTCTAAGTAGGACTGCCAAATCCCTGGTCACCAGAGAACAGAATGCGTGGGTACTTACGTGTTCTGGCTCATTTTGCTTAGGACAATAGTAGGGCTATCATTAGAGGGTGTAAGAGAAAGAGATCACCCAAAAGTCTAAGAAATAATCATTGCATTTGAGTTTGGGAAATGTTAATCCATGAACCAATTTTTCTCTTGTGATTTCTTATTTTATTAAATGAGCTTTCTGGGGCTTTTTATTCTTACTCCACTATTTAACCATGCACAGTTTTTCCTGCATAATTAATAAAACATTTGAAGGCTTAAATGAATTCCCACTAAGTAAGGGAGCATTTGAATCAGAAAAGTAGATACTATAATCCTTTATGTGTTGTCCATCTGCCACTGTATTAGTGAGGTGTTATACTGTGCACAGATTTCTTGTGATTTTCCAGCTCTCACTTTCTTAAACTCAGGAACTAGATTCTATCAAGTAGTGTCTTTGCTATTCACATTTGCTTACTAGATTCTCACTACAAATGTAGACTTAATAGATTTATATTGCAATAGATAACTTATATTTGCTCTCTAAAACTCCTCTTTTAACCAATCTTAAAGTCAAAAGTCAAAATGGTATAGCTTTAAGATTAAACATACAATCTCTGCTTTCTTCCTCTACATAATGTGTATTCTCTTAATATTCAGCCTTTTCTTGCCCCAATATTATTCCTTTTTTACCTGGTTAACTAACATGGATTTGAGTAGTTCCAGTATTGTGATTAAAAAGAAATGAAATTACCTTAATTATATAGAATATTGCTAATTGTGACATATTATTAATATGTATTAGCATATATCCTTTTTAAGTTAAAAAAAATTTGTATAATTGCTTTTGACCAAACAGGAAAATAAAGAGATGTACATATTCTCAGCAATATCTAAAGCCCCAAATGCAATGACATTTTTACCAGAGCAAACCTTTAGAAGTATTTCTGTAAATTTTGATATCACATTATTTTAAAACCAAATGCTTTCTGAGAAATGAGGCAAATTATTTTAAAATATTTGCATCATAATGGGTTTGCCAAGCAAAGTAGGTCTTATGCAGATGAATTAACTTGTAAGTTTTTCTGCACTGGTCTCTGGGATGCTTTTGAATAGCAATGGCTGGTGTTTTAATTGTCAAAACAGAAAGGAATAAAAAGAGATGAAGGGAGGCAGGGAACTTTGCTTCCTTTCTCTTGAGGTCTAATAAACTGGTTATTTTCTCATGTGTATTATTTTTTAAATATATCCCACATTATTCAGTAGAACTAGCTTTTTTTCTAATTGTAAAATATACATCATATGAAATTTTCCGTTTTAACTGTATAGTTCAGTGAAATTAAGACATTGTTGTGCAGCTATCACCACCATCCACCTCCAGAACGTTTTTATCATCCCAGACTAAAACTCTAAACATTAAACAGTGACCCCCCATTTCTCCCTTCTCCCAGCCCCTGGTAACCACTATTCTATTTCCTGTCTCTATAAATTTGTCTATCTTAGCTACCTAATTTAAGTGGAATCACAACAGTACTTTTCCTTTTGTAACCTGCTTTTCTTTTAAAGCATTTCTACTGGTGTTAATTTCGGGTGATTTGTGTAATATATAGTAATGCATTAAATCCAGTTCTGTCATTATCTCCTGAGTGCCTCTTCCCCATGAAGTCAGTGGTCATGAGTGCACTCTCCCATTGTTGTTTAGTTTTCACTAATTTTACATCTCGGTTTTACTAGTTTTGTTCTAGAGAGAGCAGACTCTGAGATAGCAGGCTTACTGGAGAGTACTTTCTCTCTCCATAGCACCTGCGAAGCACCGAAGGCAGTAGTATTGAGCAGAGAGGATGAGAGATGCCATGTGGTCAGAGCAAAGGCAGCGAAGCCCTCAGTCAATCCTGCAGCAAGCTCTGGAGCTGGAATGGGGGGGACAGGGGCTTTCCCCTGGGCCAGGCTACTCTCTTAGGCCAAGGGCAGTTCCTGGGAAAGGACTTGCTGAGAACTGTTAGCCACTAACCCTCCCAGCAGCTAGGGGAATGGGTTCTTTGGTCTTGAAGGGGAATCTGTAACATCTACTTACTGTTCTCATGAAGTTTGAGCAGGATAGTGATGCATACTCTCATTCATCTGTTTAGAGATTTTCCTGTGTAAGAAAATGCTGTTGAATGATCTTGATATATATATTGAGGCTGGGGAGTGAGTGGCATAGTGGAATATTTGGAGAAGGTGTGTATGCAGTGGTTAAAAGCAAGCCGTGGACTCTGGGGCTAGACCATCTGGGTTTGTGAGTTGACTCTTACCACTAACCAGCAGTGTGGGGTAGATATCTGACTTCCCTGTGCCTCTTCACCATTTGCAAAATTGGATAGGAACACAGTTTCCGTCATAGGGTTGTTTTGGAGAAAGGAGTAACACATATAAAGTGCTTGGCCTACTGCTGGGTCAGCACATAGCAGTTGCTCAGCAAGTGCTGGCTTTGACATTGCCACTCCTACCATCCCACCGTTCTGTTACTGTTATTGTTGATGGGAGACTAAGGAGGTCAGGAATCTCAGCCAGTCAGTCGGGACTCACGGACACAGGGGCACTGGTCAGCCTCCTGGAGGCTGTGTGTAAGGCAGCTCCCAAGGCAGGGTCATCTTGCAACAGTACTACTGTGACTGTAGACATTTAGCTATTCTCCTGGCCTGTACCTTTTTTTTTTTTTTAAGATTTTATGTATGTATTAGAGAGAGAGAGAGTGAGCAAGAGAGAGCATGAACAGGCAGAGTTAGAGGGAGAAGCAGGCTTCCCACCGAGCAGGGAGCCTGACACAGGGCTCAATCCCAGGACCCTGAGATCATGATCTGAGCCAAAGGCAGATGCTTAACCTACTGAGCCACCCAGGCGTCCTGGTTTTTGTTTTTTTTTTTTTTGTTTTTTTAAGTCTGGAATAGTATCCTCTAAACATTTGTGAAGAAGGAGTCCTTGAACTACAGAGTTCTAGAAGCAGACACGATAAGCATTCTGTTGAACCCCAGAGGCTTGTTGAGGTTGCTCAGCTCTCACATCAGATCACCTGCTCCCCCGGCTTTCTAAAGAAGTATTTTTTTATCATCATAGTAAATGACATTATTATTGTGAACTCCATGGCTTTCCCTAAGTACCTTTAATTATATATTCATTCAGTACCCGTTAGATGCTAAGGATTCCAGAAAGAAAAAAAATATTCCCTGTCTCATGGAAGAAACCTGTGAACAGTAAGCATCAAAGTCCACTCAGCTACATGTTATTTGGCTATACCACACAAAGTGCTGCAAGAGAGTGTAAAAGACTCATTCCTAGAAGGAGGCGTGGGGGTGAACTTTGGGCAGTTTAAATTAATATAGTGACTGAGGAAAATGAGGATGCGCCAGGTAGGGTGAAAGCAATGAGCCATGAAAGAGCAAGTCAAGTATTTGAGGAACTGTGCACAGTTGAGGCGCATGAGGTGGGGGGAGTGGCCAGAGCTAGCCTCAGCACAATGGACCTGCTGGTGGTGTGAGCTCAAGGGCTAGCGTGTCTCCTGGTGAGGGGAAGGAAGAAGTGACATGGTCAGATTTTTGTTTTAGAATAACTCCAGAGGCCTTAGGGAAGATAGGTGGGCAATAGAAATTAGTTTCTGAATGATAATTTGGCCCAAGACAAGATTGGGCTCAGCCCAGTGGTTTGGGCTCTTGAGGCAACCTGATGATTTTTTGCTATTTTTAAAGCCAGTAGAAAGCACTTAAAACATTACAACTCTGCTGTTGAGAGTTGATGAATACTGATATTGAAAAGTGTAGAGACCAGCCTCAATATATATATCAAGATCATTCAATAGCATTTTCTTACACAGGAAAATCTCTAAATTGTCTCGTGTCTGCTGTGTCTGCTACACTTTTGACCCTGAAGCCAGAATGGCTTTCTTTTGACCTCATGCTCAAATGAAAATTTGGCTAGATGAATAACTCCAGGTTCAGAGTCCTTCTTAAGAACTTGGTAGACAGTGGCATTATTGACTTCGGTGGTGGTATTTTAGATGTGCGGTCATACATAAATCTAAAGGAATTGAGGTTAAAGGAATATGGCTTTTACTTCAGTGATTATTTTTGTAGTTGACCAAGGTGGTCTGAGTCTTTAGGTGACTCACCTGTCTACATGTGAGCCCTTAGAATAACATGACCGTTTGTTTTCTTGCAAAAAGAATATAGCAAGTAAGACATCTGTTGTCCCAGAACACCATTTTAGTATTTTTGAAATGCTACCCCATACCCTGAGTCTAGGAAGTGACATTTTGCTAGAATGTCATTTTGCTAGAGGGGAGGTGGGGGTTGGGCAAGGAATAGACAGACCAGTGTGTTTGCCTTGCCTACACCTGCATCATGTAAGGCCACCTCCAGAAGACCTAGACCAGGACAAGCCTGAGAGATGAGATGATTCTGTCCAGTTAGGGAGGTACCCTAAGAGAGTGACTTGATCCTGAGCCTATCTCCAAGTCCAAAATTTGACAGA